TATTTTAAAGATACATATTTTATAATTTCATCAATGTAATTATGCTTAGCTATTCTAAAGGGTCGGTACATTAAAACAAATGATAACGCTGATTGTGCACGATGAAAGCAAGGACGCTCGTTCAGTGTATCTCGGATGGTAATCGTTTTGTCGTTTATAATGTGTCACATGAAAGAGTTTTACAGCGATGATGAAGGATTGTATTTTTTTTTTAATGAATCCCTTTTGCCCGGTGTTTAGATAAAAAGACCCTTGCCGTTGGATATTTTAATTATCTAACCATTTTGCTGGCTTACAAAGAGACAATTGTGGCTTCTGTATAAGGGAGAGTACGTTTTTTTTTCTAAAATGATATATGATATGCACATCACTTCGAAATGTAATTTTGTTATAGAGATAAGGAGGTGACTTCATTAAAATGATCTTATGATACAATGTTACCATGTGTAAATTCCTTCTAGTTTCCATATTTAACCAGTTAATTTCAATTAGTTTGTGACTTATCTTTTCGTATTTTTTTATACCATATATGTAGTGAAGACAAGAATTTTGGACTCTTTGAATACGATTAATATTTACATAGACAATACAAGACCCGTAGACGATATCGCAGTAATTAAAATGACTGAGAACCATAGTATCACAAAGTAGTATTTTTGTATTTTGACCTAAAACATGGCGATGCTGGTAAAGCATTTTCAAATTAGCGTAAGATTTTTGACATTTACACAAGCCATCAATACACCATCAATAGTCACAGATAAATGCTCTGTTAGGTCTTTTTTATTTTTACCAAATACCAGTATTTGTGTTTTTGCGAAATTGCTAGCTGATGTCTGTTAGAAAAATTTACGATTTTTATTAAATCTGTGTTAATAATTTCATTAGTGAGAGCAACATTAAAATCAGATAAAGAAAACCTTACTTACGTATTATCAACATATATAAACACTGCCATTGGTATGAGCTGAACTAATATTATTAGAGTAAATGCAAAACAAAATTGGTCCCAAAATAGAGTCCTGTGGCACGTCGCAGGTAAACTGAGATCGATCGGAAAGGTAGTTTTTGATAATAAAGAATACTGAATAGAAGATGGTGGTTAATTGTACCAACGGTTTTCGTAAAATCTAGAAGTATTAAGACGTTTGTATTTCCTTTGTCAGTATCCCTAAAAATATCATCAGTGACCAATAATGCTAAAGTACAGCTGTAGCCATGTCTGAAACCAGATTGGCTGATTGGTAAAATATTGTAATTGTTGATGTGAGACTTTATCAATATGAGTTTTTTTCTGCTAAAAGATTAGCAGTTGATTGAGTCTGCTTTTTAATGAAATATTCTAGACTGGACCAGGAAGTTCCATACTGGGCTTATGATAATATCTATAGTATTTATATATTCCGTTAGCACAGTTAGAGTTTTCTGACCTCTCTTTCTGGTTAGGAAGTATAATTTCTCGTTTTTCACTCTCTGATGTCCTGGTACCCATATAAAATGCGGTATCCGCTGGTAACCTTTGGTATCATCTGGTAGTATGATTTGGAACAGATAACCGTTACAAAAAAAGGTTACACTGTTCTTTTAGAGCCTACAGCAAAAGACCACTTCAGCTAGCTGTCGGAACAAAAGGTGTGGGTCATGAAACAGTATACTTGATATAGTTAAAATTTACATTAATAAAACGCAAGAGTTAGTATTATGTCATTCACTATTACTAAGTTAAAGAAAAATTCCCTGAATACGAAATTATTAGAGTAAAAGAAAGAATTAATATTACCCAGTGATCACTAGAGCTTGTAGTACGTTAAACTTAAGGACAACTACAACAGTTACAGAATTATTCTTATAAATAAAAGTTATATAATAAATCGAAACATTCTTAAATTACTAGTACCACTGAAGTTATTGGACTGAAAATCTTTCATACCTTGGTTTAAAGATTTTCAGATACCTGATTTCTGGTAGAAATCCATCAAGCGGTGGCACTCTTCACCACTGGTTTTGGCTACGATTACCTCGGACAGAAAACTAGGTTATAACTTGTAGGAAATCAATAGAAAAACGAGAAACATAAACAGGCTCCGTAGAAACTTAACCTGGACTTAATATAACAGCCCTTCACCAAGATGCGTCTGGAATGTCTGGAACCAAACATTGACGTAACCGTCTAAAGTTATCTGATTCGGGCAGTCGGTGGCACGGCTCAGTTAGTGAGCTTTGGTCACCGTGACGCAATCATCATCCCAAAAATGGTTTAGGGTATTAACCCCGGTGCGACACAGGACTTCCTGTAATTTGTTTTTCCAACCTCGGCCCACAAAGCCAGATGAACAGTAAAACCACACATACCCCGGCACCTTTCCCAAAGAGGAAACAAAAAATAAAAGTCCCAAGAACCTCATGGCTACGGCGTATTTAACCCCTTTTCTAGAAGTTAAGATGGCTTCACCAAGGAGAATATGACCGTAAATATTTTGGAAATCACATTTCCTGTGATCGGCACACCTTGCCATAAAACTTATCTAACTCGTCCCCAATTGTGTTCATACAATCTAATAACAATATTATTTATAACTAGAGTTAAGTAATAACCCTACAATTTCCAGAAATGCACCCTAACACACATACTTTGATTATTATACGGTGCAAGAGAGAGGTCCGACACGCCCAACATAGGGCGCGGCCATTTTGATGCTTTTACCACAGTTTATAGCTAAAGAATCAGTTCGCTCACTCTGCGTCGGCACTTTTGATCTCAATGTTTCAGTTTATACACTGCGCAACTCGGATAATACAATATATGACAACCGCCTATAATAAAACAGCAGTCTTCTGCGCATCCTGAATTTATATCCCTGGAGTGGATGTTATTTTGGACCTTTCAACTGGTCCGAGTTAGCTAACTGATTCTTTAGCAATAAACTGTGACTCCAAAAATAATATTCACTAACACTGATAGCAGCAAGCAAAATATTAAAAATAATGCGCCAAGATGTAGGCAACACGTAATAAGGCATCAAATCTCCTTTTAAAAGGCACTCAGAAAGCTGCGCAGTGCGACCATTATCCGTATAGTAAAAGAAAATACAAGTATGTGACCTTAACATAACATGACGTCATGGACAGTCAATAAATATTGATGCCAAATAACAGGACAGTGGTAGAATCTCTGCCTGTGGATCCAAGGGTCCCAGGTTCGAATCCCACCGTTGGCCTGGATTTTTTTATTTAATTATTTAAAATTAATTCTGATGCCTTGGTAGGATTCCCCACTCGACCATTCACTGTTGGGTTCTAATTAATAGTGCTGTTCTTAAAGTGACGGTGGGAAACAGTAACAAAGCCTGCACAGAACATGAGGCTAATGACGTTAGCAGTCGAAGCCGATGACACCAAATAAAAAAAAAAAAAAAACAGGACACCAAATATTTCCCTAATATTTCCAGTGGATTATTCTGCCAAATTAGTACCATGGAACAGAATTGGCTACTGAACAGTGCAAACCAGAATGACAGTTTCTCAAGAAAGAAGAAAAGAACCCCAAATTCGTCAATAACTAAAAATGACAGCTAGGTACAATTTTACCGAAGACTACTTGGAATAATGTAAATCTTGTTATTACAAAGCAATGAAAACCCATGGAATTAAATAGAACATACTTCTAAGATATCATACTATATGTTTCGAACCCTAAAACTATCAGGATCTTTAACAATAAGATAAAACAACACACGAAAATGCAACAAATTGAATCGGATTAAAAATTTTATTCAAAACAAAGTAATGCCTTCTTAAAAGTTACATGTTTTGTACTAAGAATATGTTTTAAATGCCAGTATCCTTTAAATTACCAAAGGTTCTTATTCAAGACAAATCAATACTTTAATAAAAGTTACATTCTTTAAACCAAGAATGTGTTTTAAATAACATAACTATTTAATTAATTTAAAACTAAAATCAACATGTAACACCCATTCAAAAAGTTCTGAAGGGATTTTTGACAGTCCAGTTTTACTTTTGATTGAAGTTGTTCTACAGTGCTTTAAGATCTGCTTTCAGAATGAAGACTCTCTTATCTCTAACAAAGTAATTTAGGATGATTTAGGCATAGGCATTTGTTGTTGTTACTTCAGTTTGGAAGCATGTTGTCAGTGACCCCAGATTTAGTACAGTGGTCTTTGTCTTAAATTCGCATAATAAATTTCATCTGGTTGTTTAACTCTTTATGAATTATGCTTATTATAATTTTATTAATTTTAAATCTCATCAGGTTATTAAGACAGCCACTTAATTTGGCCGCAAGTTAACGCATCTATATTGGGTTCATATTGTCATCATTTTCTCTGAAACAACTTAAGCGTAGTTTATTTATGACACAGCCATCTACCAGTGTTGTATGCAGTCAATTGTCAGTTGAAATTTACCTGTTGTAAACTTTACAGTTTTGTATATGTATATTTTAAGAAATAGGATTTATTATTTCGAATAGAGAAACATGTAAAGGTATGTTTTTAAATTTGTAATTACAATCACGTATGCTGTTACTAAGTAATATTTGTTTTTATTTTGTTATATTAACTTTCACGTTGTTCCAAACTTTTTCTTAGTTGTTTGATAAAATAATTAATTTTTATGTCACAATAAGTTTCTTGCTTGTTTTTGTGGGTCGTTTATTATATTTAGGACGGAGGGACTCTAACCAAGCGTTATCAGTGTAAGATATTATAAAATACGAACTATTTATGTAGCATCATTGTCTATACTATCCATGTAATACTTTTAATATAAAAAATGATACGTACTATATCTAATTTGATTAGCTTAGTATTTTTATATCTCAAACTGTGACCATTCGTAGCTGTCAGTTGATATTATGTTGCATATTGTACATATTAGACTTAAATATTGTTAAAAAAATATGTGTAAACTGCTATGAATGTCATGCAGAAGCAAAAAGCGCAAAATTCTTAACACTTTTAGAGCCATGCAGTACTTACTGTTCTATTTGCTAAATTTTTAACTCTGCAATTGAGATATGCAGTCTTTCCAAGTAACGCTGTAACATTTTTCGATGCACTGGCGTCAAAATGTGGCCCTCTTGTCGTGCTCTCTGTGAGTGAATTCCCGCTATTCGATGCTCCAGTCTGAGCACACAGTGCTGAAACAAAAAAAATTTTCTATATATGTCACTATGTTGTTATTTCAAAAATCGCACCGATAAAAGTATGTGTATAAATTATTTTTCTCGGGAAGAAAGATGGTAAAATTATTATATACAAAATAGATTTTTCTGTTTTAATAAAGTTATTTTTATGTTATATTCTCTTATCCTATCTAAGCAGATATTGCTTTATGGTCTTTGCTTTTCCCATGAAAGTCTTTTCATTCTCCAAACTACTATATCCGTTTTCTTTGTGATGGACTTAGATATAACCATATAATTCTCTTATTCCCTATCTCAAAGCTAAACGAATCAAGAATCTTAAATTAAATAAAATATATTGAATCTGATGAGCCAAAGTAATGTCTGTTTGCTGTTACATCTTGCAAAAGAGCAAATTGTAGTACAATGTACGCCTCTATGCTTTGTAAAACAAGGTGGAAGTTTGTCGAGTTTTACTGGAAATTTAAACAATGTTGCAGGATTTTATTATTAAAATTTAACCTTATGTTTTCTTTTAAGTTTTGTATAATTTGATTCTAAAATATAAAAAGGATTCTAAATAACCTTTAGTCCAGAAAAGTGGTTATATAATACACCAGACTTGGGGAATTTTGTAGTGTTGATCGCAACACCGCACTGCATGACTAAATAGTTAGTACGCCTGAAATTATCTAGAAAATTATCTTCTTTTGAAACCAATATAAATTTGTTTCAATGAATGGTACCTACAGAAGTGAAATTGACAGTCTGTTGCAAGCTAGTGGATTTTTATTACTTACTTACCACGTCTTGCACAGAGTTTCCTTTCTGTAGTGAACTGTGGACTGTTGTATAAAAAAAGTTCAGGATTTTGTATATACCTTCACTGATGTTGAAATTGAAAATATACATTCCTTTAAATGTTAATAAACTTTAACATTTATGAACACTGTACTTAATCTACTAGTTTTACATAATATTTGTAATTAAACGTTGGCTTATAACATCTTATTCGAAAATTGATGTGTCTTGTTGAGCAGTGAGAAAGATTCTGATTCTAGACCTAGGCCCCACGCTGGACAAGCTTTGGCCAGAGCTGGTCTTGTTAAATTTCTATTAGCCAATAAAACAATATAATATGATCTTACTCGTCAGCATGAGAGACAGCGATATTACTAGCTAATTTATTTTGAACATCCCATTTGATTACGTTAATGAGAGTGACGGAAATAGACTTATATGAAGAGAAAGATGTGGTTTGAATTGTTAAGAGAGAAACCTATTGTTCTAACGGTTTCTTCTTACGAATTTATTTTCATGGGGTTCAAAGCTTGTTTCTAATTTTGTATTGGGTATATATAGGGCGGATCTATATTGTTTTTATTTGATTGGAACATGATTTTTATTTTATTTCATTAAATTAGGTAATGCAAACTATAAATGTTGCCTTTTATTATTTATACAAGGTGGGTTATAAGAGTAACTGACGTATATGTTAATTGTCATTTTTGAACATTCTGCCACGCGCGAGAAATGAAGAGAGTACCTTTGTACATACTTTCAACAATAATTTAAAAAATATAGAGATAAGAGAGGGAGGGAAAAAAATAAGAAATATAACTAACTAAAATAAATGGCCACTTTCAGACCCACATCGGCAAGCATCTATGACTGCCTTAAACAATTACTTTGTGAATTGTCTTATGTAAAAAAAACCTTCCTAATCGGACCTAGGGTTTAAAAACCGCGGAATACATCATCGGAGTTTTCCTGAAAATAATATTTCCCCTAAGTATCCCCGTGTTCGCTACTGAAATTTGTGCTTAAACTCACATTGAGAGTAATTTTCAAAAAAATAAAAAAATTATTTTGCACTTATATAGCATTTGACACTTTTAATAACTGAAATAACGGTTGTCTATTGATTAGTGTTCGATTTGCTGTTGTAGTTTTGAACTATCATTCTTGAAGAAGTTTTTTACTATTTTTTAATTTAAATTGCGCACTTTAAATGGTACTTTTGCTTTAGTTAGAATATTTAACTATGTGTCAATGAACATAATTTATTTCGCACTTATTTATAGTTTTAACATTTGTAATGGGATGGTTAGTACTAATTCACATAACTTGACGACTTCACAAAGGGACTTATTTAAACAAGTTGTTATAAGAAAATTTAACACATTGATGGGCGTCTTTTTATCACTAATTTCAGTTGTTTCACAAACAACACTTAACTGGGACTTTAATGCTGGAATATCGAAAAAAAATTCATAATTTAATTTTAGTGAATTAAAAGTTTCCGATGGAAATTTTGATGAATCGTAGTTACTAATATTAAAATTAAACAATTCAAAAAATTTTAATTTGCTAAAGTTTTGAAATCGAGAGTTCATTTGTTGTAAAAGATTATCAAAAATTTCGGCGTATAATCGATGATATGTTTTTACTTTATTTGTAGCACTTATATGAGATTTGCTATTTTCATGTCGTTTTACACTTTTGTGAAAATTATTCAAGTCTGTAATACCGACTGAGTTCCAATGTGATTTTTCAGCTATACTAAAAAGTAGGCCAGCAAAACAATTTCTTCAAAGATTTGCAGCCGGTTAACCATTCATACTTTTCATAGAACCCTACGTGAAAATGCCTGATAAATTTTTTGCTGACTTTTCTACTTTCGTCTCTAAATTGATAGGATCCTTTTTGTCTACTAGAATTAATAAAGTTTTCTTTTCAAAATTTTTACTTGAAAACCCTTTTTTAAATAAAGCACACAATACAGACACAAGCAGGGTCAATAACAGGAAGCGAAAACAATTGGAAGATGAGCCGGCTCTTTTAAGACGCGCTTCCGCCGACGGACTCGAAGTATGGTGTGTGCGTTTACACAATTAATTTTCTCATGGGTGATGCGTGCGTTTACATATTACACCAATGAATGATTAGTACATTTACGAAGTTTACGTAATGTTTCAGAGAAAATATAGTACCTAATTTAATATTAATTTTTATACATTTTAAACTGAAATATATTTATTTTTAAATCTCAAAGTGTAGGGAAGCGGTGCTTCCCCCGCCTTCCATGGACCGCACGCCCCTGGTAAATACTAATTTAAAACACTGAAAATAGATAAAACTTTATTTATTTTATTGCAAATAAATATCAATTATATTATTCAAACTTTATGTTAATGTAAATATTTCAACTAGAATGATTTGAAAGAGTATTTATGATAAATTGTAACAAACTTTTTAAATGAAAACCATCGCATACAAAATCCTCATATTATATGTACATCAACAAATTTGACTTCCCCATTAAAGGCTTTATTAAAACTGAAAACTTTAAATTAGCATATCATGATGGAAATGCGTCTAGCCAAACCGAATTACCACGAATAGAAATAACTAACTGAAACTAAAAGTTTTGACGGTATATATTATTTCGGTTTTTGCATGTTTTATGAATGTGAAAGATTTATTCTATAATAATGTCTAAAGGTAAGGTGCATTAAATATTATTATTGACCATTTCTAAAATTATGACTAACATCTACAAATTTCTATCAAAATAAAATTAAATTAAATAAACATACGTTGCTCGTACAGGACGATATTTATAATATTCCATTAATAATACATAGTAACTTAACTTTTTATCCTATAATCTATAATACATCTAACGTCAAATTTAGAGGACTTTTATTTATAAAAATATTTATACACGATATGTCTCCAATATGCAATTTACATTTACTATCTCATTTATTTACAATAGGATCATCTTAGTCTCTGAAAGAACTTGATAACTTTCTAGAAGCTGTTGAAAGATGGGATGTATTTACTTCCAATAAAGTTTTGTTATTAGGATACTTTCATTGTGCAAATTTTACTGGGAACAATCTAGAAGATAGGAAAACTAGCAAAATCTTCAACCGTGGAATCCGTTAGAAGGAAATTATTAGAGAATGATTTCGTTCCACAAATGAGCAGAGAGACATTAAGAAAAATAGTATACCTGTTAAAGTTTCGATATGCAAGACGATCTTGTAGTTGTTTTAATAGAAAGAGAGAGAAGTTTCATCGTGACGAAAATATCTTCGCCCTGTACGGGAACATCGTTCGGCAAACAAGACAATATATTATTTCGATGAAAAATGGGTGAAATCTGGTCACACAGTATCTAAAAATCTATCAATATACTACGGTAACAAGTTATCGACAAGCATTCGTGAAAGATCTATCAACAGGATTACGAGGACCAACTGGAAAAGGACAACGATTCCCTTATCTGAGGACATAACTAAAAGGGAGCTTATAACCATAATTAAACAGCAACGATACCAATATCGTCAGCATGTTTTAGATACATTTTTTGATTTCATATTAATTTTCTACTTCTCTGTTATTTAATTTTAATAATATTTTTAATTTACCTTTCTTATGTATTTTTTTTTTTTTTAATAAAAGCTATTTTTAGTATTAATATTATTATATATATTATTATCTTTCTCTAATTTTATCAAAATAGAATCTGAAACTTATAACTTAGCCACACTGTATGTAGTAACTAACTCTAAAGCCGAACTAAAATGTTGTTTATCATCCTCACGACTGGGCGTCTCTGAATATTTAATAATTTTAGTAATCCTCTTACGAGGATCAGACCAAACGTTCGTAAAATTAGGATTGTGAATGTAGATAATTATAAAGACGTTAATTGCTGCAGATTCGCTACCAGCATTTTGAGTTCCATGAATGTGGTAGAATTCCGCAGAATTCAAGCACTACTCTTTGATATTTTATAAATGAATTCCAGCGTGGGGCTTATTAGTGTAAATTGGTGACAAATTTGTCGCTTATAATTAGGGATGATCTATTTTTAGTACAAATACATACAAGATAATATAAACAGGGATTTAAGAATTTAAAAATGAATCTTTTAATTCATATAAAAATGAAGAGACTGTAATAATTGATATTAATAAAAATTTAACAAAAATTCTAAAAAA